GTTTTAAGCGTTTCGAATCCTAAAAAAGAATATGTTTAGACGCAAGCTTCTCGAATTCTAAATAAGCATATGGGTAGACGCAAGCTTCTAGACAAAGCTTTGTTGAAGTATTAAGAAATTTTTGCAGTTGGAATTTCTTTGCAGTTGGAATTTCTTTGGTGTTTTACATTTTAATGTTATTCAACTGCTCGGATCAATTGATTTAAGACTTCACCTATTCATAAAATATAGTTTAAAAAAAAACCTATTTTTGAACGAATTTTAAATACAGTCAACAAATTGGTAAGTGGAATGACCTTTATCTAATCGTTGCAAAAGTTGGTCCAGCGATGATTCAAATATTACTAATTGGAACATGCAATTTTCAGCTGAGCAGAACGATGAGTGGTGAGACACACGGTAGAAAATTAAAAACAGTCGCTCTCGCATAAAACCTTTTGACATCATATATTGAGTTCAAATCAAACTAATCTTTTTCAGTAGAGCGCTTTTACAAATTCTTCTTCAGAGCTTTTTGATAATGTCCCAGTTTTGGAAACAAAAATTTAATCTCACATAAAAACGTTTTTACCAGTACATCTCTGAAGGAACACATTATTGTTTTTGAGTTTCAGACGGGCCGTAATGTGTATTTGATTATGCGTGAAACACATCTTAGCTTAAAGCTTCACTTTTCAAGGAAATCATATTTCTTGATTTCAAATGGAAAAAATAGAACCTCAGGTAAAATTAGTGAGAGACTCAGATGATAAAACAGAACCTTCCTAATTTTATGTAAGCAATCTGCTACACTCTCATTTCTCAATTTTGAAAGAATTTTATTCAAAGAATTATATACAACACGATTAAATTATAACCTCTTAAAGGTCAAATATCGAACCAATTCAACTATTGGCACTTAGCAAAAAAAAATTCTCGCTGGTCATGGAGATAGTTTTGAAAATTTTTTGGAAGTTTTGAACTGCATCCGTTAAGTGATAGAGCAATTTCTTCAGGGACAAGGATAACATTTTCACACTACGAGTGTCTCGCCATTGATTTTTTTAACTTGTTCAAAAATGTTACTACCGAATACCAAAATTTGAATAAACTAACTCGAGCTAATCTTTCTTTTCATATGCTGTCTGATTATCCGAAGATGGTCCAAGCACTATTAAACGTTTTTTGTTTCTTAGAAGAATTTTAGTAGCTGAACCTAATCATCGCAACAGTTGCGTTTAATCTAGAATGAGAACTTGCTCAATACAGTCAAGTGAAAACCCATGAAAGGACAATTAACTTCTCAAGATTTCTTTTTGCGGTGGAAGATCATTTGTTTCATTACAAACAGCATCTCTTTTTGCCACGATGTTACAACAATGAAAGCAAAGCACTTAAACGACAATTTTGCAGCCCTCCTTTTCGAGGCAAAAACTACAGACTAGAACTTTTTTTAGTTCCATTAGGACCAAGCAACGGAAATGATAGTCTTGGAAGAAAGACTATCAAATGTTCAAAATGACAATTTGGGTACATTTACTTTTTTTTGAAACGTTTATTTTTGTGGGTTTGTAGGTTCCCATAAAAATTTGTAATTTTTTGAGATTTTTCATCGTTATTGACTCTATCAGCTTTAGACAAAATCTTCCGCAAAATTAGATAAAAAATGCTGCATAAATGAAATACCGCCAAATACCACCTAGTTTGTAAAGCAAGGTTCATCAATCTGGCCCATGCATAAGACAAGTGTCTGGAATTTTGTTGATTCTGTACTAACATTTATATAAGTTATCTATTTTACATTTTTTTCTAAATTGGACTAAGAAAAGATCCTTTTCTTTGTTTTGGAAGTCATTCATCTAAAAAGTGCAAAGGTTCATAAGTTTTCACCTGTGCATTTTTTTGAAAGAACTTATGAGCTCAGCTTTAAACATTTGGGATCTTACCCTTCTCATCAAGCTCCACAAGTAGAAAAAAACTTATGCAATCATCAATTCAGCTGCAAGCAATGATAGAGGAAAACACTAAATAATGATTGCTCGATTGGACAAAACATAAAATTTTGCTGATTTTATGGGTAGAAAAAGTTACTTCTTTAAAACAAAAAATTATTGGCAATTGATTTCGAAATTCTATGAAAAACTGTGAGAAATTGTATGGTTTTCACGCAATTTCTTCAGCTTTTCAATTTTTTAAGTTCTGCCAAGAAACATGAACTATATTCTTGATATGAAGTTTTTGAAATATTTGGTAAGTAAGTTATGCACAATTGTAGTTTTTGTTTGCAACGGTATTTTATTGGAACAAATTTAATATAAATTAAAGCGATTTATATACTTTATTTGTAACTTAACCTTTTTTCTAGAAAAAACTTGATTTTTTTCAGATCTTAAATTGTATCGTAGTTTCAGACATATCTAAAAAAAAATGTCAAAACATAGCTATTAACGATCTCATGTTGTAAATTTTGCAATGAACACGCACGTATCGGGTGCCAAATTTGTTTTTTGAAAATCAAGCACCAAAAAGCTTTTCGGAAATTGAGCGGCAACATTTTGTCGGAAATAGGACGCCAAAAAATACCGTCTGAAACTCACCATCAAAGTACATTGAGAAAAATATTCACTATATTCATACAAATGCAGATGACGGGATACCTTTTATCCTATCTTAAAACATGTAGGACATACGCTCCACGGGCGGCTGAATCTACTGGACACATAATACTCGAACAATTTATGAGAAGTATCTCAATAACCCCCCCCCCCCCGTTTAGTTATGGGGTGCCAGAAAACCTGTGGATGCCAGACAACAACCACATCAATCAGACATCCGTGGTGAGCGTTTGTCTTGTTTGTTAAATAAATTTTTTGTTATTATGCTTTTTTACTTTTTTGTTCTTATAATTTGTGAAAAAATTTTGGCATTGTAGTGTTTGTGTTTAATTGGTTTTTTTAGGTTTTGCATTTTCTAATGAAGCTTTCAGAAAAACTAATTTTTGCCTTTTTCAATGTCTCTTCCGAACACTTTTGGTACCGTTTTAAAACTATTCAACTTCAGGGGACAAAACTTAGTTCGGGCGATTGCTTTCGTGTTTTAACCCTGGGTATGTAGTTCTTGTAAAAGAACCAGACTGCTCATATCAAGGCGAAATCCTGATTGCTCCATTCACCTTTCAGAGTCTATGAAATAAATTTTGCTGGAAAAAATTAGATTTCTAAGACGGATTTAATCTCTGCTTACGCGTTAACAGCACGAAAAACTATTGCTCATTTATGATCCCAAACTGGCCAAATTGTCTATCTTAAATCCTAATAGCTCTAAAAAACATGATCAACAGTAAAATATCTTAATAACATTGCGCTCAAGTCAACAATATTTTTCTGCTGATAAAAAAAATTCCCATTCCGCCAACAATTTCAATTTGAAAGTCGAAGTCTATCTGACGAAAAAACCATCCCGAGCGCAATTATTTCTTCATTTTCGTCAAAAGTTGGAATAATCAATAAATAAAGTGTGAGTTAGCCTACCATTAATTTTATTTTTCACCATTCATTCAGTTTTGCTACTGGGTGCTCTAAAGAAGGGTTGATGAACAAATCGAAAAGTTGTCTAAAATTACTACCAACCTTAATCTTATTCGGTTGTACGTTTCATAGCTGTTTTAAATACGATTTTTGATTGTTTCATGGTTTTTGTTGGTCTAATTAATTACTTTCAACTCAGAGTACGAGCAGCGTTTGTTTTATTTTTAAAGCATTTCAAAACTCACCGTAAAATCGACTTCAATTAACTCTGAATATATACTTGTTTTCCAATTCTTAAACGACTATGTTCAAACATCAAACAATTTTCATTTAAGAGTAATAATTATTTAAAAACTTTGCTGAACAATTTCGGGAGACAAAAACAATGAGAAAACTATTCACTATAACCATACATATGCCGATTACGGGATACCTTAGATCCTATCTTAAACATGTAGGACATACGTTTCACGGGCGGCTGAATCTACTGAACACATAATACTCGAACAATTTATGAGAAGTATCTCAATAACCCCCCCCCCGTTTAGTTATGGGGTGCCAAAAAACCTGTGGATGCCAGACAACATCCATATCAATCAGACATCCGTGGTGAGCGTTTGTCTTGTTTGTTAAACAATTTTTTGTTTTTATGCTTTTTGACTTTTTTGTTCTTTTAAATTGTGAAAAAACTTTAGCATTGTAGTGTTTGTGTTTATTTGGTTTTTTTTTAGATTTTTCATTTTCTAATGAAGCTTTGAGAAAAACTGATTCTCGCATTTTTGTTGCCTCTTCCGAACATTTTTGGTACCGTTTTAATACTATTCAACTTCAGGGGACAAATTTTAGTTCGGGCGATTGCTTTCGTCATTTAACCCTGGGTATGTAATTCTTGTACAAGAACCAGACTGCTCATATCAAGGCAAAATTCTGATTGCTCCAATCACCTTTCAGGGTCTATGGAAGAAAACTTGCTTTAAAAAAACGAATTCTAAGACGGATTTAATCTCTGCTTACGCGTTAATAGCACGAAATACTATTTCTCGTTAATGATCCCAAATTGGCCAAATTGTCTATCTTCAATCCCTAATTGCTCTACAAAACATGATCAACAGTTAAAAAATTTAATAACTTTATGCTCAAGACAACAATATTTTTCTGCTGATAAAAAAATTTCCGCCAACAATTGCAAATTAAAAGTCGAAGTTTATCTGAAGAAAAAAACCATCCCGAGCGCAATTATTCCTTCATTTTTGTTGAAAGCCGGAATAATCAAGGAAAAAAGTGTGATTTAGCCTCACCGTTAATTTTATTTTTCACCATTCATTTTTAACACTGGGTACTCTAGGGAAAGAGTGATGAAGAATCGAAAATTGTGTAAACTTAGTACCAAACATATTCTTATGCGTTTGTACGTTTCATAGCTGTTTTAAACACGCTTTTTGATTGTTTCATGGTTTTTGCTGGTCTTATTAATTACTTTCAACTCAAAGTAAGAGCAGCGTTTGTTTTATTTTTAAAGCATTACAAAACTCAGCGTAAACTCGACTTCATTTAACTTTGAATCAGTACTTGTTTTCACATTCTTAAACGGTTATGTTCAAACATCAAACAATTTTTGTTGCAATAAGAGTTATAATTATTTGAAATCTTTGATGAACAATTTCGGGAGACAAAAAATAACCGTTTTTTTCTAATTAATTGCAATTGTTCTACATTCAGTAGTTTTTGAAGTAAACTCACTCAAATGTCATCTGTTAATGACAGCAGCAGTAAATCACATCTCAGTTTGAAATGGAAGGTAGCCGACAAAATCAACCAGTTCAGACGTTTTCACAATGCAGTAGAGTTGACCTTTGACCCCGACTGTGAGTATATGGCCGCCAAATTTGAAGGGTATTGCTTTCGTTTTTCGCCTTAGGTTCGCCACTTAGGCGAGGAAGATTAAACTGTTTTCATAAAAACTTAAAACAAACTCTAATATATATTGTTTTCTCTTAAAAACATGATTTTTGGTACGTTTTTTAACTTAAAACTTAAAACTAGTAACTTAAAATCATACTTTCAACTAATTTAAGCAATTTAGACACGCGTTTGCTTTCTGTGTACACGTATCGAAACTGTTTCAGCCAAACTGACCAAATTGGCTCAAGAGTGTGCTGATAAGACTGTAGAGGACAATTGTATGAAACATTATGCAGTTCGGGACTTCGGCCAAAACATATTTGCCATGTCACGCAGATTCAACTTCGACGGTGAGTCGTCTTATAATGGAATCATTTGACTTTCGGGTTTCTGTTTGAGGATGGGGTGTGCTGCAATGGGGGGATTCTAGTGATACTTGGGGGAATTTGAGAAAAATTTTGAGTCAGTTTTGGAAACTGTCAACCACTTTTTTTCGAAAAGGGGGATGGACTTGTTGCATGGTACAAATTCGTATATGTTTAACCGTTCAATTCTTTAATAACATGTGGAGGGATCAGTTACTATAGGGGTAGGGGGAATATTCAACAAGATCCGAATTTTGGTCTAGCCAGTCATGGCGTGACCTTCTGGTACAATGAAGTGGACAACTATGACCCCCACTCTCCCGGATGGCAGGAGGGGTGTGGCCACTTCACTCAACTAGTGTGGAAATCATCACAAGAAGTAGGCATAGGTCAGTAGCGTAATAACATCAATGATGACTAAAAAAGGTCTTTATTATCGGCTCTTGATGCAAATCAATCAAAATTTTATACTCAAATCTATCAGAAGTTATCTAGAATAAAAAAAAACGAAATAAATAAAATGAACTATTGGCTTTTCCCATTAGAATCCCTAGTTATATTAAGATGATTACGCCCACGATAACCCGAGCCCTACAAAAAAGAAAACAGATGTATCTCAGTTGGTTGTGGTCTACCATTGTGTTGGTTGTGGTCTCTAATCGAAGCAAGAAAAAGATATAATCCACTGCCAATCGCAGAAACCACAATCAATTATTATTAATTAAAGCCAAATTTCATTTAATAATTGGAGCCATGTTTCATTTGATTCAATATTACTTTTGAGATTTAGCTAAAATGAAATTTTGTTTCACATAAAATATTGCTTAAGTCTAGTTTTAAAATCAAACAATTTTAATGTTGAATTTTTACAAAAACAGGAGTGGCGATGGACAATGACGTCACATGTCTCGTAGCAAACTTCTACCCCAAGGGCAATGTGTATGGGGGCTTTGAGGAGAATGTTGAGAAGGACCCGAATTTGCATCGCAGTGTGTCGTTAGACGAAGACTAGTCGACCTGTTCGATCTCTTTAAGAACCCCTCTTTGATACCTTGGTAACGAAATGCCACACCTATAAAGAACCAATTCAACGGTAACCATATGTGACTTTTGCAATTGGAGGGACAATTAAAGAGATCTGAACTATTTGGCAACAAACTTTATGAATACAATCTTGGACTTACTAACTTCCCGCACCGGAGTTCCATGGATAATAATCGATTATATTGAATTTTCGTGGTCTGTCTTAATAAATTTCGATAATAATCGATTATAATCGATTAAGAGGGGTTATAATGAAACTATTTTTCTAATCAATAAAATCCGAATACAATGTTTCATAAAATGTTTAATTTCAGAATGAAATTTATATTTTTTTGTCTCTACTTTTTAAAATTCATTGCAGTTTAACTAACACTTCATTTCACTGTTTTCTTAACCAAAACCCTAATGAAACTTTTAGGGGTTTGAATTAGATTTTCATAGCTTCCCGCACCGGAGTTCCATGGATAATAATTATAAGTTTTTTTAACCCAGTCTTTTTTACCCCCCCCCCCCCAGTTTACCGCCACCACTCCCCCCCCCCTCCCCACAGTTTACCGCTTACCGCCCCCCTCCCCAGTTAAGCCCCCCGTTTACTACCCCCACCAGTTTACCCTCCCCCAGTTTACCCAAAATTTATTTATCCAACCCCCACAGCTTCTCTCCCCCCCAGCTGAGGGGGAGGGAGGAAGCTTGAGGGGGCGAGGGGATGACGTTGAGACATGCCATGTAGTAAAAGACATGGCATAAGTTTTGCAATTTTCTCGCAAAATTTGCAATATTTTGCAAAAATAGTCGAATTAAGTTCTAAAAATGAAATGGATTATAATGGATTATTTTGGCAAAAATAATCGATTTCAGTGACAAAAATAATGGATTATAATCGATTATAATGGATTATAATGGATTTTTATTTTTCAAAAAAATCGATTTTAATGACCACATAATCGATTACGTGGTCTAAATTTGCCACAATAATGGATTATAATGGATTATAATGGATTATAATGACAACATTTTAGACAACATTTTTCCATTATAATCGATTATTATCCATGGAACTCCGGTGCGGGTTCCATTAGCATTCATTTTTCGTGAAAGTATAAAAAGTTAAACGTATCTTCTTGAACATAATTTTCTCTTCTTGTGCTTACCGGGGTTGACAGAAAATGGTTATCATACATTTTTCATGTATGAAAAAAATGCTTATCATAATTTTTCATACAATCTCATAGAGTAAAAGTGTATGTATGAAAATAGCAAACTAAGTATTTTTCCCATATATGAAATTGTATGATAAGTTTTTTTTTCCATAATATGATATTGTATGACAAGCATTTTTTCCATACTATGAAATTGTATGATAAGCATTTTTTTCATAAATGAAAATACAAAAAAAATTGTTTCAAAATTTCGTGTTTCAACCCAAACACTAGCCAAGAATTTTTTGACTTGAGAAAACCCAGCGTGTAACTGGCAGTTACCACGCAGATAAACTGCATTTGATGGTTTCAGCCATAAAATTTAACGTGTACATTTTCACGCGGAAATATATACCAAAAAAGTAACTTTTTCAATTTTGGTTAGATAATTTTTAGTTTGAAATTATGATGGTTGAGAAAAAAAAGTCCTGTTTTTTTACAAATTTGTTTTTATTTAGGCAAATGAAACAAAAGATAATAATAGTGTTTACAAAAAAAAAGATTTTGTGATTTTTTGATTTTTTGGGTGAGAAACTCATCCTGGAGTACGTTATAAACACAAAAATGTCAAATTTTGCATTCAAGTTTTTCTTTCGTAAAATTTATATTTTAACACAACAGCAAGTTCGCAGCCGAAAAAGGGATAAATTGTTGCGGCGCAGAAATCATGGTTAAATTAGGGACTTTATAGTGGTTTGGTAGACTTCATAAAACTAATTTGGTCGACCTCAAAAAAAGAAGTCGACAAAATTTTCAAAATTTTTTTGAAAATCCGCCCCCCCTCGAGAAATTCTTAGATCCGCGCCTGGAGTGCGCAATCAGTTTTTTCTGTTTGGAAATTTCGGATCCATTTTCTTAGCTAAAAAAAATTTGCAAGGAAACATGGAAAAAATATCGACAATTCGACACTTTTTTTAGCAAATAATGAAGACAATTATAACAGAAATCGAAGCAAATAATTTCAAGAAATCCATCTCAGTTAAGACGCAATTAAAAAAGAAATTGATACGAGTCTAATTATTTCGTCCTGATTTTTTCTGCACTTAAGACAATTCAAACTTGTCGAGCAGCAAAAAATGTCCGATCAAGATGAAAGTTTTGCGAAATCCAATGGCCAAGAAAAAATGTACTAGGGAATATGATGACAAAGGTTGTCATGTTTATAAGCTTTCAAATTGAATGGCGAGCCACCGAATAAACTTGCCCAATTTAGTCTGAATCAAAAAAAGATTTAAAATTGAGAGTGCAAACCAACAAAGCAACGAATGATTTTTGGTTGAATAAATAAAGATAAACGATGCAGCTTACTAGCTGTAGGGAAAAATGATTAAAAAAATAGTGGCTCATTTTCCCATCTCCACCTCACAAAACTATCATTTTAAGGGTGTAATGAGTGGTTTTACAAGTCTAATTATGAATACAGACCAAAGATGCTTGTTTTGGCCAAACTACCCCGCATGCAATTTTTGTAATGATTGGAGCAGAAAACTTAGTCATAAAAAATGCAGGTGGACCAAGGAGGAGGGAGAAGAGCCAACAAAAACCTTTTTTAATATCAGATTTTTTCTTAATCAAATCGAAGACGGAATAAGCCTCCGCTTACGTGTTAATAGCGCAAAATATGTCGCGCGTTAGTTGTCACAAATTGGCCAAAAATGGCAACCTTTAAACCCCCTTAACTGTACGACAAAAATCTCAGGTAAAATAACTTAGCTCAAAATTAAGCTCAAAAGGACAATAAATTTTGAAGGTTCAAATTAAATCCGTCAAAAATGGCTTGTTAAAAAGAAGAAATTTGTCTGAATTTATGAAAATTTTTTAGATTTAGCTCGGAGCTCAGTTTGAATTATGTTTGATATGAAGGACAATAGCTTAGATGCAACTCTTTTACCCCGGTCGATGTGCTCACTTTGTTTTTCGATTTTCAAATTCAAGCACATGCCAGTGCTCGACCCAAAAAATTAGTCGATACAGGGTTTCGGGTCGAGCACGATCTCGAAACATACCTCGAGCAAGGTCAAAACATACCTCGAGTACGGTCGAAACATTCCTCGAGCATAGTCGAAGCATACTTCGAGCACGTTCGAAACCTATCTTGAGCCGCAGAGAAACATACTTCGAGTACGTTCGAAACAAACTTCCAGCAATTTCAAAAAATACCGATTGTTCCGCGGTAGTTCAAAGTCAAAAGAAATGTTTTTTTTTCAGTATCAACGAACTTTTCGATTCAAATTGCAAGCCAGTAATCCAAAAGATTGAAAAACTAGCTCATAAATAATTTAACAATACATTCAAATGAAAAATATCCTTATAAATTCTATCTGATGAAAAAACAACATAAGATGTTACACAAAAAGCGGAAATTATCAATTTTAATTTTGGATATCCATGATATTGGGAATTCAAAAATTTACCAAAGACCGTTAAGCACGGTCGAACACATTTTTGTTGGTCGAGCACGATCAAAACATATCTTGCTTGGGTCGAGCATTGTCGAAACATACCGAATTTCCGTCAAGCTAGTCGGAACATACCATTTTTCGGTCGAGACTGTCGAAACAAAAAGTGAGCATCTCGACTCAGGTAATTCAATCTATTTATCAATTTATTGCCAGTTAGCCAGTTGTTCTTCTCACATAAGAAAAGCTTTGCTGTTCAGTTTTTGGTCAAATTGAAAAGTAGAAGCGAAATTTTAAAAAGTTAATAGTGTTCATTCAAGAAAAAGTCATCCAACTCTCAAGAATGATAATGAAAAAACGCAAAAAATTTGTGTTCGTGTGGATGTGATATGATTAGAAAATAAAGCTTTAAAAAACTTTGCAAAGAATGATCAACATTGTTTTCATTTCATTTAGTCATATTGACGATAGTCGATTATGGTATTTTACACACAAAAATTGAAATCTTATATAAAAAATAACAAGAAATTTTGTCTTTAAAATAGCTTTTTTTTCTGTTGCAGATGAAATAAATAATCCCTTAAAAATCCATGCGGCTTCAACCAAAACTTGAATAAGAGTCCGGCTTCCCGAGACTGTTTAATAGTCATTCTTTTTTCTAGTTTTTTTCCTGTTTTTGTTTTTCACCTACTGTAAAATCGACAACAAGGAGAGTTGCACAGTTTTTTCATTGACACGTATCCATCTATCTGATGTTTGATGCCTTGATAAAAACAGCATGAACGAAAATCTGTGTAACAAATTTGACAGTTTTCAACTTTTTTTTTGATAATCAGTCTCAATAAAAATGAAGCTCAAATATTATGTGTGGCTGATATCGTTTTTAGTGTTTCTAGTTTGTCTATCTTTGTTCACGAGACAAAGTTTATTGAACTTGACGAACTATTTTGAGCATATTTCGCGTTTCTCGGCGCTTCCCATGGACAACCAATTTAAGTGTTCAGACGGACGGCAAAAAATTATGTTCTCAAAAAATGTGAAAGTTGCGGGCAGCACAATCAATTCTATAATAACAAAAATTGCGATGCGTTATCACAAATACAAGTACGTGCGCCCCAATAAAATTAAAGAAGATGTGAAAAAGCACGGATACTTTTCAGAGCACCACAGTTTGTCGTCTCTGGATCAATTCAAAAGGATTTTCCCGAAGGATCAATTTATTTGGTTATCATCAGTTCGAAATCCACGTGACCAACTTTTTTCGCTCATCAAATTCAAAAATGTAGTTACACATTTTATACCCGAGAACTTCGATCGGACTTATGAAGGTTTTTTATCAGCTGCAAAAGCCAACCCAGAAAAGGTCAATTTCAGATTCCAAAGTTTTATTCAAGTTTTTGGCTACGTCGTCGATTAGTTTGTTGTTTAAAGCGTAATTTAGGCAATTTACTTCAATTTCACGACATTTCAAAGCTTGTATTTTTACTTAAAAAAATAAATGAAAACTGAGAAAATTATTGAATAAAAAACAATTTTAAATGAATCACCGTTACAGCTCGGTATCGATCTTTTTAACAAAACAAACCAACTTTGAACGCGACTAGATTCGTGTTTCAACCTTTGAGATGCAACTCTTAGAATTAGTCTTTCGACCAATAGATGACTTAAGCGAGCAATTAGCACTTAATATAGTGGTAAGTGTTCACTCTGAAATCGTCAAATCTATACGCAAAGAAAAATGGC